CTGATACTTCTTTTTACAGAAACAGTCTTAGATATTTCAAGATTTTCTGAATGAAAATTCTCTCATGTTTTTCTACAATTGAAATTCTATCATTTCCACATCAATTATACTCACAACCAATTAATATGGAAAGCTGGGTCATTATAAGCATTCAATAAGATAGGCATTAAAATTTAAGCAGGTCTTGTTTACACTTCAGAGTGACTTATTTTGACCACTGCCTTCTTCTTAATTACATTCAAATCCACAAATATTCACAAAGGTGCAAAGCACTGGGGTAGGTATGATGGGGGAAGTAAAGATAGACTGGTAATTGATGGGATTTTATGATGTCATGTGCTAGAGGGAACCTATTCTACAAGAGCTGAGAATCGAGTAGGAAACAAAGTTCTATGGGCAATGATCCCTAATGGGCTGCCTAGTATTTCATGTAGCTCATTGCAATGGTAGTAAGTATGAAAAAATTGTTTGGATATGTAACAACTCATAAAAAAATCCAAATATAACTAAAGATAGTGAGACTGGATTTATCATTCAAAAGAAGAGGTAGTTTTGCAAAATTCCCTTATTTATCTAGTATTATTGGGGATGAACTAGTCCTACTAGGGTTATATTTCCAAAATGTTCAAACTGATCATTGCTAAGTACTAAAATATTTTGATAGTAAACATTTTGAAGGAATAGTTTTCTGAAATGTATATTTTTCTGACCTCTGAAATTGACCATGAATTTAATCTCTGTTGATATCTCAGGGCTACTGTTTAAATACCAACTAATATGCTGGCAGTATACTACAGTGATACCCTTAGGAAGTGTTTCATGACACAGAGTTGTTTTTACAAGAGAAGTCCTTCACTGATAAAATATTTGAATTAGATTTCTGATTGATTTCTTTTTTCCTGCCTCTTGCTTTGCTGGAAAGTGAACCTTATAGCTCCCTACTATTATCCTCACGCCTGCCTTTTGTAATCCCCTTTCAAATTGACATATTGAAATCCCTGTGCAAAGAGAAATAAAACAAAAAGATCTGATGGGATTTTCCTTAAGAGAAAGAAATAGGCTCTGGGTGAGTACTTAAAGGGCATTTTTATGAGGTAGCTTCAGGGACTTGGTGTTCTCTATTTTGCTGCTCAGAGATTTTATTTTCAAATTCTTTGTTGTATTCTGAATAGCAAAGCTTACAGGTATATCCCATCTGAGTTAAATATGACTACATAACACTATAGCATTGCTTGCATTTCTAAATAAAGTTTTTGTGAACTACTTCAAACTGGGTACTAATCTTTAAAAAGAAAGTCTATGTCCTTGTTATGTCAAAACCTCCAATCAAATTTATTAGATCAATTATTTGGAGTTTGGCAAATAGGAGTATCAATCTCAAATTCTACCATGAGAAATGCTATGGATCTACTTACTTGCTGAGAAGAAAATAACCTTTACTTATTATTTTATTATGAAACAAGTAGATATTTTGCTAAAATAACGTTAAAAAGTTTTAAGAAACAACAACACAGTTTCACTGTACTTCCTAAGATGCTTTGTCTTAATAAGTTGCTGCAGAAGGGGAATAGTTCAGAAATTGCAAACATGTAAAATTCTAAATCCAATACAACTCTCTACAACTGCACAGCAAAGCGCCATAAGAAGAAATACTCCAATACTTAGAATATACCTCCATATTCTGAGCAAATGGGTCTTTTGGATCACACAATGTTGAAGATATTCGATGGTTGCCACGGAAACATCGCTGACTTATATTCTGGGGGACTGGGAATGTCTGCCGAATGATGGTTAGCCTTCCAATGGACCTTCTTACGAGTTCCTGCACATCCATGTCATTTATTTCCTGTAAGATAAGAAATGGAAGAATTAGAAATGCTTTAATACAGTCACAGAAACACAAAATCTATTAATAGGTTGTCATCTGGAAATGCTAAGGGTTACTGTAATGCATTTACTTAATGCTTAGCCCTCAGCCAAAAGAAAACAACATATGTTCATTAAAATGATCAACTCATTTGTATTTGCTGTCTGTGCTTACATTATATCCATTAATGCTTAAATAATTCCAAACTGGAGCAATTGACTTAAATACAGAAGTGTATATACACACACTGAGTAATTATAAAGGTAGTGTTTATTAAAATATATTCAATTTTCAAAAGTGAACTATAAGCTGTTAAAGTATGTATAGATTTTTGGGACACCCTGTATACTTTATTAATAGCAAGTTTATAATTTGTGACGTTGAATGCTTTAGAAAAATATGGGTTATCTACACATCAAAAAATCACAAAATATGTTGCCATTATAATTCATGATTCATTAATGTATTTCAAGGTATTTTGAGTACCTAGGAAGATAGTTGCAATGAAAGAGTAACATGTATTGTTCTTAGCCATTGAAAATGGGGCTCTTTAATAAGGCAAGTAGAATGAGCAAGAGGAGGTATTATTTTTAAGGATTTTTTTTCAAACTATCCATGTTAACCTATAGATTTTTCTTGGTTAAAAATAAACAAAGTGCTCACTAAATGTTGAAGAAATAAGTTAGTATGTAATTGTGGTATTAACATAAAGATGGAAAACTCTTTTGATTAATACCGAGTGAACCAGGATGAGTGAATGAAGAAATACAGTGCTTGTTATCCAAATCAATGTTATTTAGAAATGTGTTTTATACTTTCCTCTGACTCCCAACTCCAGATTAAATTTTAGGATTTAACTCAATCATGGATGTAGGAGCAATAAAAATGAAATATTTTTATAACATACACATGTTTTAATTGGAATTAGTCAGAATAAAAGTGGTCAGAATAAATTTTAGTTTTAAGGCCGTCTTTACTAAAGCAGTTTGTACTTCCTAATGCCCAGTGGGACCTCTTAAATCAATGAACCCCTTGTAATGAACTTATTCATTTCAGGAGATTCTAATCACAACAGAAATAAAAGATTTAACACAAACTTTAGAATGCAGTGAGCATTCATCAGTTTCTTCTGCTTTGTAGCATATATTAGCTTAACCATCCTTTAATTATGATCTTTATGTGATATAGATTTTCTGAAAATTAAATAACACCCGCCATCAGCTGTATCCAGTATAATGTCCTGGATTTTTGGTTGATTAACTCTTAACATACTATTACATAAATGGTTTTCTCAGCTTAAAATGCCATCTTTTCCCTTTAGTCTGTGCCACCAAAAACTCCTTCTGGCAAAAAGCAAGTCACTATTTAATTTTCTGTCACCTACCCATAAAGAATTATACAGTAACCTTCAACATCATTTTTAGCCTTAACCTTAACAAGAAATCGTTTTTTAAAAAATATATATATTTTTTTTTATTGATTTCAGAGAAGAAGGAAGAAGAGAGAGATAGAAACATCAATGATGAGAGCATATCATTGATCAGCTGCCTCCTGATCGCCCCACACTGGGGACCGAGCCTGCAATCTAGGCATGTGCCCTTAACCGCAATCGAACCTGGGA